ATTTTTCTTGTTTTTATTGCAAATGCATTTTCAATAAAATGCAATGCCTTTATGTATACATATGTATATTTGTAGCTAAAGGATTAAATAGATTTCTTGCGTACATTTCTAGCGTATATTTTGTTCTACCTTTTTTTCTTGTCTTATTTCTTAAGAAAATAAGTGATAAATATACATGAATTTATTCTTTTTACAAAGAAAAAAAACAACTTGCATTTCTCTTAATTTTAATAAGCGCTATTTATTAGCGCACTTCCGTATGCTGATAGCAAATGCCGAGCCGTGAATCTCATATCGGATACCGCGTTGTACATCCACCTGCCTCACTACTTATATTAAATGTACATAAAAACTGACGATTTATCCTTCCGATACACCGTCGGAAAGTAATTGCAAATTCATATTGTAACTGTGCGCATTCTATCTGTCGCGTCCGCAGCATGTCGCCATTAACAGCGAATTTGGTTGGATACACTAACAGAATTCTAGAAATCGTCGTATTTAAATTTACGAGCATAACATAAAAGTATTGCTATTGGGACATTTAAGAACTCAGACATATGTTGAAAACAGTAATTAATTCCCAATTTTTAAACTTTTTGAATGGACAAATTGTTACTAAACAATGTATTGCATATAAAATTGGTCAAACCACACATCTATATTCAATTTAAATATAATAATATTCAAATCAAATGTATACATTTTATTTATTCCATAACTGTATCGTCATCTTTCTTACTTGAAAATTCCATTGAAGATTCCAAGAAGCTTGTCATTGAGAAGTTATTCAAGATTTTTTTACTTAAAGAATTGAGAAAGAAAGAAAAATTTTTATTATTTAAAGAATTTTGCAAAAAGAAGTACTATCTAACGAAGTATCTTTTTTTTAGTTTATTATTTTATTATGTAGTTTTGTATCTAACATTGTTGTAAAATATATCTAAAGAATTATATTTTAAAAATTCCTTTCGGCGTAACTACTTAATTTTGCTAAACACTTGTGACTTATAGTTAGCATTATTTAAGTTATTATAATATTTAGCAAAATTGAGTAGATATGCAGAAAGAAATCAATATATATGTATATGTATATATATTAGGGTGGGCGGAAAAAATAAATTTTTGAAAATCGATTAGTAATACCCCGCCAAAAGTTACCTATGGACTAATATAGTCTGGGTAAAATTTCATCAAAATCGATTAATATCTTTAGATTGCCTCTCGACCTTGAAATTAGTAAGTTTATGCATAGATTTATGGATAGATGTGTCAAAATTTGAAAAAATATTTTGAATTTCAATACAATTTGGTATTACCTATTGTTTTTTGGTTGCTAAACACGAATCCGAGATCAGAAGTACACATTTCAAAATGACGGATTCGTAATATATTCTTATATAGGGTGTCCTATTTTAAATAATACATAATTAAGATTTCTCGAAAAATATAGTAGATACAAAAAAATGTTTCAAACAAAAATTGTATGGTTCGGAGGGGAACATAAAAAAAGTTGACCATTGATTTCATTTTGGGTGGTGTTGTTAAGATCGCCAAATCAAGATTACATCGATTTCTTTTAACGGAATTATATGTATATTTTTTTACATAATATGATTCCTTTAATTATTCTGCACGTAAAAGTTTTAAGGTGAAGTTATTTAAAAAATCAATATTTTACGATATTTTATATTTTATCATGCCATATTTCGATATATTATAAAATATGAAATATTTTGTAAATTATTGATTTCTTGATAACAGTATTTAATATTTTTAGACACAGAATAATGAGATGAATCGTTTTAATGTAAAAAAAACACACAATTGTTTTTAAAAAATATATATAATTTGCAAGAAATGCATAAAATTACTAATTTCAAAGGGCAATTTAAAAATATTAATCGAGTTTGATCAAACTTTACCCGGACCATATTGAGGTCTATAATTAACTTTTAGGGGGTATTATCAATCAATTTTCAAAAATTTATCTTTTTTGGCTCACCCTAATATACAATATCGCTTTGCTTTTATGTCAATTTATATGCGATTGTTTTTGGTGTACTTTTATATGTACATTCAACCAAATTCGTTATAAGCTTCGCATGTTGCATAAAAACAATATGACTGTTAGATCCAGCCTAAGCTTATGATAAGTATTATAAAGATTTGTCACAGCGTCAAAATGCATACTGTCTTCAGTAGTCTATACCGTTCTTATGAATATCGTATCTTATATCGTATGTAAATTTAATACGTAACTAACATATAATTAAAAAGAAACAAAGTGGCTGGATGTGAGCTTGTCTCTGTATGCACCTGTTCCATTGTTCCATTGATTGTTGATTTCTTTTAAATTAAAATGGTAAACTTTTGTTTTTTCTACTTTCTTTTTCTTTCAAGGATTTCAGACTGCACATTTACCTTCACTGCAAATTCTGTATCCAAATTGTTAAAATTATCTAGAAATATTATTTCTGATGCAAATAATTATTTGATTATTTTACCTTACAAGTGGAACTTTCTAAATTTCTTTTAAAGAAAAATGTTTAAATAGCTTTATTCAAAATTATAAACGATACTTGGTTTGGTAATAATTAATACAAATGTTACGTTGTTAATATTATTCCAGTTCAGCAGAAACTTTTAAATTTTGTCAGTCATTTCCTTCTATTAACAGAACTGTAGCAGTTTTTATATTAATGTTACCATGAATAACTTGTCACATTCGATTCTTATTTTTGTTATTTTTTCCTCTTTTTTAATATCAGGATAATCACTCAAATAGTAATGCTATTTTTCCTACTTGTAATTGATCTTTCTTTTATTTTCTTACAATCTAAATTTATTTTCTATGCAGATGATCTATCAACTTATTTACATTGTTATTATTCTCAACTTTAGAATATTGCATGAATTATTAATGATGTAATAACAGAGTACCAAGTCAAAAGAAAGAAGTTGATTAATCATTACAATTTCTGAATGCTCATTGTAGTCATATAGATTACAATGCTAAAAGTGAAAGAGCGTAATAAAATTTTCTCGTACTATATGTACAAATAAGTTAACACGTTTTGACACGTGTATGGATAGTAGTCGAATGTACTCGATAATACGGATGATTAAACATGCCGAGAAAATGAAAATTTAATTCTTTCTATTTTAATTTTAATTTTAATTATTTTTTATTATGCAGTTAAAATAAACAAACTTGTAATATATACATTTTACATATAAAAATAGAGAGCTTATAAAGATTTATAGTTATATAATCAAGAAGAGGATCTATGACGTGTAAAATGATTCTATTAAATAATGAATAAAAAATTATTTTACTTTAAAGTGAATAATTTCAGAGGAGAAAAGAAAAAATTCACACATAATTGTTTGTTAATAATTTTTTATTTCATTTTTAAAGAAGAAAATCAACTACGCTTTTTAGACAAGATTGATTAAATAATTGATTTATAATTTACAAAATAATTCGTTTAAAATACATATATGTGCACGGTTGCACGCGTGCGCACGCACATACACGATACACCAACGTTCGTATATTTACACTCAAAGAGAGAGAGAGAGAGACAGAGAGAGAGACAGAGAGAGAGAAAGAGGGAAGAAGAAGGATTTCTTTTCCCTCTTTTTCTCTATTTTTCCTTGTATATTTTTACATCTTTTTATATTACTGATATACATCCATTCTTATACTGTTTTCAATATTATTCTGTTTTTATAACGTTTATTTTATGCTTATTTTATTTTTATTATTATATATAACTACCGTTTATGTTCCACATTTTTTTCAAAAAAAAAAAATTTCATAACATTTTTTTTATACCCTAAATGGTTTTAAAAGTATAATAAAATTATCTATTTATATTATAGGGTTTATTTTCTATCCATCTATTATCTTAAGGACAATTGTAGTAAACGTCTCAGTTTGCAAGTTATATTTATTATTTTATTGTCGAATTTGTATCACATAGGGAAGGTCTATATTACAACATACTATGCACGTGTGTTTTGTTATGGGCTATTCCACGTGAAGCAGATCAGTCATCTCTAAGAAATTTTTTTAATTTTGCACAAAGGTAATACTTCGGGAGATAGAATTTTGTGCCAAAAGATTTTTTTTTATTGCAAAATTAATCGAGATATAAACAATTAAAAATTAGACTACTTTATTTTTCAAAAATTCATAGCTCTGTTACTTATAACTGCTTTTTTTTTTAAATACGCGAAAAATGTTCTAATTTACGGGAAAAAAATAAAGATTCTAAAAATGTTTTGTTTTCCATTGTTTATTTAACAATAAACTTTTCAACAATTTTTTTAACAATCGGGGAGAGAGTCAAAAAATCTGAAAAAATATTTTTTATATACTTTCAGTTTTCCTATATCTTAGAAAAAAAACTCAAGAACGTGTTTTGCCTCGTTTTCGATAAAAAATTTTTTTAGTTCTTGATGTAGGAAAAATCTGTCGACTCTCAGCGTGCGACTCTTACAAAAACAGCCAAACTTACAAAATATCCCTACCATACTGCTAGTATGTTGTTCGCAGCCGCTGTTTTGTATTGACTAGACAGTCAATATTTTATAAAATCAACTTTACAATATTTAACTCTCCAAACAATTTTATCATTTATTCCGACGATTTCGACTA